ATGGCGCATAACAACAACAACAACTTTGCAAGGGGTAGCGGGTGGTCATAGGCTTCCCGGAGAATCAACTAAGCTCATGAAAAACACTCAGGGACGAATTCTGGTTTTGTGGAACCTGAAGCTTAGGCAATGTGGGGACCCTCTATGAAAAAGAAGGAGCTCTGGTGGTGCAGTGTCTCAGGCATTTGACTGCTAATCAGAAGGTTGGTGGTTCAAGCCCACCAGCCGCTCCACAGAAGGAAGATGGGGCAGTCTACTTCTATAAAGATTTACCTCTTTGGAAACCCAGTAGGGGTCACTGTGAGTCAGAATCAACTCAATGGCAGTGGGTTTGGTTTTGGTTTTTCCTATGACAAAGAACATAATTCTGAATATAAATTCAGTCCAGAGTCTTGGAATGGCTCGGGCATACGGGGGGCCCTGAAGCTTCCTTAGTGACATGAGCTTCCTGGTAAATTCGCCTCTGTCGTTAGCTCCTCTCGAGTCAGCTCCCCACTCCTGAGAACCCGTACACAGCAGCATCAAACCACTGTGATCCAGAGTTTGCACTGGCTGGTTTCTGGGCACAAATCACCAGGCCTTTCTTCCTGGTCTTAGTGTGGATGCTCTGATGACACCTGTTCAGCATAATAGCAACACAAAAGTCTCCACTGCCAGACGGGCGGTGGCTGCACACGGAAGGCAAGAATTAACCACTGAAGCGCTACTGCCCCTAAACCCTCCTCTACACTCACAATATTCTCCACAATTTCAGGGACCCCCTCCAAGCTGACCTTGGGCTTCCCCACATGCATTTGCACCCATGCATACATATGAGCGTGCATGTGCCCGCCACCACACACATGCCGGGGCGGCTCTCAGATCAGGCTGGGGCCTGAACTCCGGGGCAAGCCAGAAGCTGCAGCAAGCTCATCCTGACCTGGTCTGCCCACCGAAGCCACAGGCACCATGGCCCCCAATTCACAGGAGTTTGCCCCCCCCACACACATACCTTTGCCTAGTGAACTCAGGGGGACCAGGAGGGGATGTAAGCCAGGCTCAAATGTGCGTTATCTCCACATCAGATTATTCAGACAGTTACTGACACTCTCACAGGGAGGAGTTCTGTCCCCCATGACTTTAACTCATGTCCCAAAATGAGGCCACATCTCCTGGCCAGACAGCATGAATGAGTGTTTTCAGTAAATCCAGTAATTACTTTGTGACAGGCACAATGATAATGCATTGTATTGTTCTGATGTTTAAAGAAGCAGTTTGATACTGGTATACATGAAAAATACGTCACAGACTGGGTCACCTGTTTTGGCATTTAAGTTACTTAAAGTACCTGGAATTAAATAAATAAATAAATATAAAAAGTTTAATGGTATTTCCTACCTTGAAAACATTGAGTGAAATCTGTCAATCATAAAAGGACAACTATTACATGATTCCACTTATACAAAATATCTAAAATAAATCAAAAACCAAACCAAACCTTTGAAGTCCATTCTAACTCACAGCAACCTGTATGTAGACACCAAAGTTCATTTGATGGTTACCAGGAGTGGGAGTAGGAGCTCTGGTAGCATAGTGCCTAAGGCACTTGACTGCTAATCAGAAGGCTGATGGTTCAAATCCACCAGCCACTCCTCGGAAGGAAGGTTGGGCAATCTACTTCTGTACTGATACCACCTTGGAAACCCAAGGAGGGGTCGCTATGAGTCAGATTTGACTCAACAGCAGTGAGTTTGGTTTGGTTTTGGGTAGGAGTGGGAGGGAAGGTGGAAGAAGGGTCATTACTTGAGGGGCAATGAGGTAACAGAAAAAAATTAAAATGGATAGTGGTGATGGTTGTACAACTTGGTAAGCAAAATTAATGTCACTTGCTCAATGACCCACGTAAAAAAATGTTGAGATGGCAAATGTGTGGTTTTATACATATTTTTACCATGATTAAAACAAATGGCCTCTCCTGGCGTTAGAGAGACTTCCGAGGCCAGAGCTGCAGATCACGGCCAGCCTTCCTGTGACAGGTCCTCCTGGTAGCAGGTGCCACAGTTTTTAACTTTTTATATCGATTTGGGGGGTGGTGGGTAGAGAGCTGGCACCCTGAGGTGGGTGCTCTCAGTCTGTACAGGCTGGAGGGCAAAGAAACAGAAGCAGTGGGGGTTTCAGCCTAGAGACCAACCCAAACCAAATCCACTGCCGTTGAGTTGGAATTGATGCATAATGACCCTATAGGACAGGGTAGAATTGCCCCATAGGGTTTCCAAGGCTGTAAATCTTTTTTATTTGCTTAGTTTTTATTGTGATTTGGGTGAAAGTTTACAGAGTAAATTCATTTTCCATACAGTAGTTCATATTCATTCTGTTTCATGACACTGACTGCAATCCCCACAATGTAACAGCTCTCTTCCCACTTCCTCCCTGTAGTTACCTCTTCCCTGTGTCCTTCCCTGTCATGCACTCCTGCCATCTGTCCCCCTGTGCAAACACTGCCCTTCTGTTCTCCCATGATTGACCATTCTAGGGCGTGTATCTACGTGATGTAAATGTTCACCCCATATGCCTGTCTATTGTTTGGCTGGAAGCCACGGGAGTGAGTTCAAGTCTAGACCTGAAGGGTAACTAGGGGCCATAGTCTTGCAGGCCTCGCCAGGCCCTACCAAGGCTGTAAATCTTTCCAGAAGCACAGGGTTCAAAATCTGGGATACCCGGGGACTGGGGTGGGGAGGGGTGAGACCAGGAAGGGGCAGCAGGAATTCCAGATGCTTGCCCACCATCCAGAGATCCCTCAGAGGGAAAGCAGGGGCTCCCCGGACCCCTTAGGACAATTCTTATTCCTGTCAAGTGGAGGCTCAGGAGGGCCAAGGAACTCCCTGGAGACCACACACACACACACACACACACACACACACACACCCTCAAGTGATGGAGGAAGGAGTCTGCTAACCTTTTCATACAGAAAGTGAATTAATGAATGGAGGTATCTGAGGACCAGAGAGGTTAAGTAACTGATGAAGGACCCACCAGACCAGACTCCCTGTCCAGTGCTCTTCTGGCATAAAGGAAGATGCTGAGGAGGAAGGAGGTCCCATTGCCAGGCCTCCCCCAGCCCCTGGCCAGCCCACCCACTCTACGCAATCCTGGGTGGCTCACCCCGGAACTCCTCGTCAGTCAGCCGCTTCTTATGGGTCTGTAAGAAGGGGAGCAGCCCGTCCAGGTCGGCAGTGGAGCCCCGGGACACGATGTCAAAGAGGATGGGCCGGTTGAAGACTTTGAGGACAGGGGGTGGCTGGGGTGCCGGATCTTTAGGGATCTGTGGCTGCTTCCTGGAGGGGTGAGGAGGAAGAGTTACGAAAGGGCTTACTCCCCACCCATACCACCGTCCTTGGACTTAGGGGGCCATGGAATGAGGGGGCAGCTGAAGCCCGAGGGAGGGGACAGAGGTGGAGGGGAGGGACAGGTGGAGACACCAAGGAATGATGTCACCAACAAACCCTACCTAGAACCTACTGTGTGCTGGGTGGAGACAGAGGCAGAGTCGCATAAGCCACACACCCATCATTTAGTGAGCACCTACTATAAGTCAGACAGCTACTGTGAGAATCAAGACAATGAGAAAATAAAGGGGACCAACATATTAAAATAGAAAGTGCCTCATTCATTCATTCATTTATTCACCCGAATCTCTGAGACAGACAACAACATGAACATAAGTCCGTAAGATGTTATTAAACTCAGTATGACTCTCATTGCTGAGCACCTGCTGTTTACACAGAGCCTGTGTGCACGTGGATGTGGGAGAGACACTGAGCTACAGAGAAAGTGGAGGAAGAACACAGTGGAGAAAGGGTTGGAGGAGGTCTTTATGGAAGCAGACTGCCAGGCCTTTCTGCAGCACTGCTAGCTGGGTTAGAACCCCCAACCCTTAGGTCAGTAGTCAAGCACAAACCATCTGTGCAACCCAGGGTCATCCAGAGAGAGAAAGGAGGAACAGAAAAAACTGAGATGCCAGGAGGAGGAGGGCTTGGAGACATTCATTCAGTCACTCAACAAACAGTAACTGGCACCTATTGTGTGTTAGGTTCTGAGAAAGAACAAGCGCAGACCAGGGGCACCAGAACAGCAGGCAGCTTCTCCCTCATGTTCTCCATGTGGCACACACAGGGCACAGTAAGAATCTGTTAAATGAGTGTTGCTGTCAGTTGCCCTGGAGTGCACGCCGATCCACAGCGCCCCCACGCGTGCACAGTGGAACTGCTCCATGAGGTTTTGATGCAGGTCACCAGGCCTGTCTTCTGAGGCACTTCTCAGTGGGTTCGAACTGCCAACCTTTCAGTGAGTAGTGAGGCGCTGGAGTGGCTAGCGTTTGTACCAGCCAGGGACCCCACTTAAACGAAGAAGAAGATAGAGAGAAGGAGAAAGATGGGCAGAGTTGGGGAAGAGAGCAAACCATGCCACAGAGGTGGGGGCTGCAAGAGAAGGGGGGCTGCAGCTCAGAAGACAAGCCAGTGCAGGCTGGGGCGTGGGCCGGGGCAGCGGGGCAGAGGAAGCTGGCCTCTGTCTCACCGCGAGGGGACAGCAGATACGCCCCCCTCCTCTGCCCGGGCCCCAGACTCCATCTCAGGGGCACCGGAACGGGATCTTCAGCCTCTACAGTGGAGACAGAAGCTCTCCCTCCAACAGGGTCCAGAGACGGGAACAGTCTCTAATTAGACCACCTGGGTAGCCCTCATTTTACCTGCTTCTGAACTTTGTTTGACCTTTAAACCAAAAAACTAAGTAAAAAAGAATGGCCCACTCCTATCCCTGCTGACTTCACTCAGGAGGGCCTGTGGGGTCTCTCTCAGCAGTTCAGCTGGCAGCTCCTTCGAGGCCCCTTCTAAGCCTTTAGCCCTGAGTGCCTGGGCTGGGGTTGGGGTGAGGGCCTGAAGAAGTGGGTCTGAGGATGGAGGAGGGGCAGAGGCCGAGCTCATGGCCTCCCATAGCACCTAGGAGGGCCTGGGCACAGAGAGAGGAGACAGGGGGCACTTGGTTGCCCTGGGCCTCAGTTTCCTCTTCTGAGCAGAGGTTCCTGGACTCGTGGAGCATTGCACCGCCTCTGGCCTTTGCTGTGCCCTGCCCTCCCCCTGAACACTCTTTCTCCTCTCTGTGCGGCTGCCCATTCTTATCCCCTAGCTTTAGGCTTGAATGTCAACTCCTCCAGGAAGTCCTCCCAGACTACCTTTCCTGCATCAGCCTCTCTCCCCTATCTCAGCACCTCCTCTTGCTCGGATGTATATTTATGTGCTTACACATTTGCTGTGTAAACTGAAGGTGCCACGGAAGCAGGGCCAGCACCTTGTCTGCTCACCCCTGGAGCTCCAGGCATACAGTGAGCACTCAATAAATGTCAACTAAATGAACCAATGATTTGGTGCATCAGGAAAAGGGACCTCTCCTGACCAGGCAATGCCAGAGAAGGGGGACAGGCTTCGTCTGAAGGCATGTGAGTCTGGGACGAGCAGAGGGCAGAGAGGAGGCCCAGGCAGCAACAAGACATCTCCAGACCCTTGTATCCTTTAGATCCATCTCCACGACACAGAGATGCCTCTGAGAGGGGTTTTTAGGAAGCAGCTCAGGAAAGAGGCTGGTTTCCAAGCCTGGGTCAATTTGAGGCATGGAAGGGACAGCAGGGCTGGGCCTTAGAGGAGCTCATGCACTATACTCATTCAGCAGAAGCAGCTCCTGGACCTAGAGGTGACCATGGAGACTATTAGCCCTATCCCCAAATTGTCCCTGGATTCCCTCAGGAGCCAGGAAGGGGGGCTCAACCCCACAAGGCACTGGGACCAAGCCAACAGAAACCAGGGTCATTCTGGATACTGAACCCTGGGGGCTTGGGTTTACAGAAAGCCACACAAATCATGCACAGACACCAGGCAAATGCCTAGGAGGCCTGGGGTCTAGGGTTGGAAGCTATCTGTCATTAAGGGGACCACACCCTGCTACCCCACCAAGGGCTTCCCTCCACCCTCCTCTTCTTTCAGCCTCCTCCTTCATGGGAGAGAAAGAGTTAATGCCTTGGGGTTTCCAGATCTCCCCAAGCCCCAGAAAAGCCACTGGATGCCCGGGAATGAAGTGATCTTGGAGAAGACACAGGAGGGCAGCCAGGGTGGCAGCCAGGAGAAGGTGGGTAGATGGATAGATGGATGAACAGACGGGCATATGGATGAAAATATGAGTGAGTGAATGAATGAATGAGTTAATGACAGCAAGCAAACGAGTGAATTAACAAGTAGATGGACAGACAAGTGGGTGAATGCACTGAGTGCTAGAAATTTGGATGACTGGGTAGATGGGTAAGTGGTAGGGATGATTAAGTGAAAGAAGGAAAGAAAAGAGATAATAAATGAAGTGAATGAGTGAATTGTGACTAGTTTGACAGAAAGCTGGTCACCTGGATGAATAGGAACTCTGGTGGGTGGGGGAATGGATGGATGCTTGAATGAGGGGATGATGCATGGAAGGAAGGCCGGTTGTATGAGTGGACAGAGAGATGATATCTGGGTGGATGGGTAGATGTATATTTGAATGAGTGGATGATAAATGGATGAATTCTATAAGTGGAAGATCAGGTGGGCAGATGCTGGAGGATGAAAGGATGAGTAAATAATGGATGGATGGGTGGATGATGATGATGATGAATGGATAAACAATTAATTGTATGGGTAGATGGTGGACAGACAGACATGATGGATGAGTGGACAGATGAATAGATAGACAAGTAAAATGGGTAGGTGGATGGAAAGGTGGGTGAACAAGCAGATGAGTAAATGGTTGTTCAAATGAGAAGATGGGTGGATGGATGGACGGTCACACAACAGACAACAAGTGTATGGGAAGATCAACAGATGACTAGTAGTTGGATGGACTGGTGGATAAACAGATGGATAAGTGAGTGAATAATGGACAGATGGAAGGTTGATTTTATGGGCAGATGATGGACAGATAGACAATGCATAGATAGATGAGAGGACAGATGAGTGGCCAAATGAGAAGGTTGGGTGAATAGTGGAGAAAGGTTGTATAAACGAATGGATGGAAGGACAATAGAGAGACAGTGTAGGGGAGGGTGGACAGATGGATGGTGGATGGGCAGATGGACGGATGGATGGGTGGACAGATGAGTGGGTCGATGGATGGATAGATGGTCAACAGAGAGACAACTATATAGGAGGATAAACAGATGGGGAGACAAGTGTGTGGGAGGGCAGACAGATGGATGGTGGATGATTGGACGGACAGACGGATGAATGGATGGGTAGGTGGGTGGGTTCTGTACAGAGGAGACTACTGACTAGGCAGCCAGCAATACTTACTCTATGACCTTCCTCCTCCATCTCTTGTTGTCGCTGGGCGGGTGGCGATAGGTGCCATAGTCAAAGAGCGAGTCCATGGGTGCCTTCTTCGGCCCGGGCACCACTGAGGACTCATAAAGGGTGGACTCCAGAAGGTCAATGGGGTTGGGCACACCCTTGCGGAAGGCGCCCTGGAACTTCATGCGTAGGTTTGGCCGCCCATCGCCTGGGCCAGGGGGCCGACTGGCATCAGCCGGTGAGGGCGAGGGGCAGCCATCCTCCCCCTCAAATAGGTTGGCTAATGAGGAAAGGGGGAAGGCCTCCCCACCAGGGGAGCTGCTCTCGTCCCCAAGGGGCTCAGCTGCCTCCCCAGGCCCCATGTGGGGGCCATCGCTGGGATCTGCCATGCTGGTCCTGGCCCTCTGAGCTGCTCGGCCTGGAAGAAGAGTAGGAGGGGTGTCAGGCGGAGGCCAGCCAGAGGTAGGGGCTCCAGGAAGCCCCCTCCTACATGGGCAAACAGTACTGCCGCCAGTGGCTTCAAAGCCACTGTTGTAATGACAGGGACGCAGGGCACCACTCCCAGATGTGGTCGGCCGCCTGCCCCAGGCAGGACGTGCAACAGGAGCCGCTTTGAGGGACCTGGAAACACGAGTCAGCCTCAGGTCCGGCTCCCCCGGGCACAGCTGGAGGAAGCAGGGCCTCAGAGCCATCCTGAGCCCCCAAATCTGGAAGCCCGGGCCTATAGCTTCAGAGCTCCCCAGGGCAGAGCTCAAATCCAGGCTCCACACTTAGTAACTACATGGTATCGAATAAGCCAGTGTCCCACAGCCTGCTTCCTGGTGTGTCTACGCTGAGCTCGTGAGCAGAGCACACGTTACAATGGCGGGTGCAGGGTCTGACATACACTAAGCACCTTCTAAACCGTAACGGCAGGGGCTGTGCTGGTTCAGTGGTAGAATTCTCTCGACTGGGCCCAGGTTTACCTCCCACGCAGCCACCAGCCAGCCGTCTGTCTGTGTTGCTATGATGTTGGACCGGTCTCAGTGGGGCCTCCAGATGGAGATGAGCTAGGAAGGCCTGACAATGCACCTCCAAAAATCCACCAGGGGCAACCCTACAGGTCACAACGGTCAGACCCACCACCGACCGTGGGGCTGGCACAGCTGGGGCAGCGTTTCGTCCTGCTGTGCTAAGGTCGCCTCGAAGCGGGCCAGCTCCCCCACAGCTAACAACAAAACCAACCATAACGTCAGCCTCCCGTGCGAACCACCAGCCCTGTTTCCTCATCCAGCCCCATCACTATTACGCTCTGCATTTTACAGGAGAGGAAACTGAGACCCCACGTCTTGGGCTGACGTCCCCCAGTGCACACACTCTGCTCCCCTGTGCCAAGTGCCGATTGCATCCTGGGCCTCTGCCTGGCTGAGCCCTACCTACCCCTGTGCTCCCAGCACAGCTGCCCCTTCCCCTGGGAAGCCCTCTCTGGTAGCTAAGGTTGTCAACTTGACTGGGTCTGGTGTTGAGTGGCTGGGCAGCTGGAGGTAGTTATTCCCCATGATGAGACTGGCAATCAACTCCATGGTGGAATCTGCCGTGAGCAGCTAAGTAGCTGCTTTAGGGATGTGGTCTGCTTCCTGTATATAAGGAGAAGCGTTGGGATTGGTCTCTAGCTTTTTGGCACGCTTGAACCCTGCATGTAGCCAAGTTATTGTTCAACAGCCTGCCGTGCCCTGCCAATCTTAGGACTTTTTCTGGACTTGAATTAGTGGCCTGCCATGTTATGTGGCAATACTGGGACTGTGTCTTTTTACTTGTCAACCTTGGGCTTGTTAGCCTCAGCAGCCAGCAGCTGTCTGAGTGAAGAAAAGCCTCCAGCTTCAGTGGGCCAGGAGCAAGAGGCGGAGCTGAAGCCCAAGGTCGAGGGGTTTCACCCAGCCCCTAGAGCCTGGCACTTTGAACTTGGACTTCTAGCCTCCAAAACTTGTAAGAATAAACTCTTATTTGTTAAAACTACCCATTTGTGGCATATTTCCTGGTAGAGTGGCACTAGGTAAGCAGAACATCCTCCTTGGCCCTCCCACCCTCACCCTTGCACCCTGAGCCTCTCTCCTTCCAAACTTTCTCCCCCTGACCCGTGCAGATAGTTCATTCCTGCTGTGGCATGGGAGGGACGGAATGCCTCTGTTCTGTTCACCCCTGAGCCCCCCACACCTTATGACAGAGTATAATGTGTTCCTATTTCTCAGATGAGGAAATCAGGGCTCAAGGGGGCAGTCGCACAGCTTGTAGGGAGAAGGGCCCGTCATGAACCCAGGTCTCTCTGGCTCCCCAGTCTCACGTGGAGCCAGAAGAAGTCGGGGGGAGTGGCAAGGCCCTGCTGGCTGGCCACCAGCACCCCGTCCTCTGTGGGCACACTGCTGGGCGGGCAGCAGGGCTGGGCACTGAGGGCGAGGTTCCTGGAACCCCCACCATCCCGCTGGGGTGGCAGTGCGATGTCTGAAAAGCCCTCTCTTGTACATTTCCTCTCTTCACCCGACACATATGCAGAGGAACAAATCAAGTCTGGTCCCCACTTTGTTTGCTCAGAGGCTGCCAGGAGGAAAGGGCTGGGCCAAAGGGGCGGGAGCACCACAAGAGGCCTCACTTCACCAGGGCTGCAGAGGGGTGGTTGGCAGCAGGGGGCGGTAGCAGGTCACAGCTCCTGCCAGGGGCAGCTGCCCTCCAGGCACGGATGGGAAGAAAAGCCTGGCCTTTGGAATCATGCAGGCATGCGTTCTGATCCAGCTCGGCTATCTGCATGCTGTGGGCCTCATCTGCTAAGTGGGTACAAGTGTAGTAGCTTCTTGATAAGGTGGCAGGAAAAATCCAATGGGACCAGGCATGCCCGGTGCTGCCCCTGGGTTCGAGTGGGGGCTGTCAATTAAGGCAATCAGAGGTCGTAGGAGTGGTAAGGACCCCAGGTTTTGAATCAGGCAGCCCCAGCTCCTCTCTTGACCCTGGTCATTAGCACCTGTGTGACTCTATGCAAGTCACTTCTCTCTTGGCCTGTCTCCTCACCTGTAAAGCTGGGTGACGGCACCTCTTCGCAGTCTCCTTGAGGTGTCAGGGATCCGGGCAGGGAGCCACCTACTCGAGGCCAGCGCCTCGCAGGACCTCAGGAGCTACCAGCTTCCTGTCCACCTGCTATCAGTGTTGCTCTGGAGTGATGGGGAGGGGACATGGGAAGGCAGGTGGGGTATCTGGCAGGGGTGCAGGCATCGAGGGCACAGGTCCTGTGCACCTCACTGGGGACCCTGGGGGATGAGGAGGCATCAGGCACACTTGGTCTACTGTCAACAAAAATACCTAACCAGCTTCATCAAGTTGTAGCCTCAGGCAGGTCACTAGGTGAGCATTAGTAGTACCATAATTATTAGACGAAATAGTAATCATTAAATAAATCACCGTCATTACGTTGCTCAGGGGCACATACAATCTCATCCAAACCTCACTACATCCCTGGACTGCTGGTTCACAACCAGGGGTGACTCTGACTCCAAGGGGACACGGGGCAATATCTGGAGACACATTTGGTTGCCTACCTGCAAAGGTACTCTGTGGAAGTAGATTGCCAGGCTTTTTTTCCCAAGATGCCCCTCAGTAGACTCAAACCTCTAACCTTTCGGTTAGCAGCCCAGTGTGTTAACAGCCTGCAATGCACAGGACAGGCCCACCACGAAATATGTCCAGCCCAAAGGTCATTAGTGCTGTAGATGAGAAACCATGTCCCATACTTTTACAAATCCCATTTTACAGATGAGGATACAGAGGCTCAGAGATCTTAAGAGACTTGCCTAAGGCCACACAGCAGATTAGTGACAGAGCCAGGATTCAAACCCAGGCAGTCAGCGGCAGAGCAGGCGCTACCGTAACCCTTCAGTTTACAGCCTGGGTGCCATGCAGCCCGTGGAGCCCCTTGCAGTACCTCCTTCAAGCTTCACAGCAGCTCTGGGAGGTAGAAGCATTACGAGTAAGCCACTCTCCTCTCCTTGTGCCTCAGTTTTCCTGTCTGTAAAATGAGTTTGCAATAGCGACTCCTGCCTCACAGGGCTGCTATGAGATAAGGTGTCAGGTCTTTCTTGGGCATCTAATGAGCACTTGATAAATGCCACTTCTTGTCATATTTAATCATCATCATTACCAAGATAGGGTTCCAACTGACCTGTCCTGCCTACTCCCCTTCCGACAACACACATGTTGTAATACTACAATCTGGCATTTATAGCCAGGTTAAAATTCACCAAGCCCTTCCCAAACCCTCCTTCCTTAGATGCCCCAAGAATGTGGCGAGGAAAAAAAAAAGATTGCCAGTGAGTCAGTTCTAATTCCCGGCGACCCCACGTGTCTCAGAGCAGAACTGTGCTCCAGAGTTTTCAATGGCTGATATCTCAGAAGGAGATTGCTAGGACATTCTCCTGAGGTCCCCTGAGTGGACTCAAACCTCCAACCCTTCAGTTAGCAGCCGAGGAGTTGCACTACCTAGGTAGCGTAACGCTTAAGGCACTTGACTGCTAACCAGAAGGCTGGCGGTTCAAGCCCACCAGCCACTCCTCGGAAGGAAGGTTGGGCAATCTACTTCTGTAGTGATACCGCCTCGGAAACCCAAAGAGGGTCGCTATGAGTTAGGTCCGACCTGAGGGCACATAACAACAGGGATCCTTAAAGCTGGGTGACTGCTCCCACTTTACAGCTTGAGGAAAACAAGGCTCCGAGGCCACCCAGGGAGTGAGTGGCCTTGAACAACTTCTAACCCAGGACTTTTAACCCAGTGCTCCTTCCACACGGCCCCACACAGGAGTGTGTACACACCAGCACATATGTACGTGTATACACAAGGACACAAGGCCGGTTCCGCTGGTCTGTGGCAAGTTCTTCCCCAAACACTGCCCTGTTCTCTGCGGTGAGGGAGAGAGTTCACTCCCTGTTCCAATTTGCCCTGAAGGTTGTAATTACACATTCCAGACTGATGCCAGACTTAGGACAGAAGAAGGGCAGGCAGGGACAGAAGCCAAGAGCCTGGGAACAGATCAGCACGCTTCTCTCCTGCATGTGTGTGTGTGCGCGTGCGTGTGCACGTGCACGTGCGCTAGCCCTTGCCAGCTTGCGCAAACTCACCCAGGGGGAACATCTTTGTAGCGGGCAGCGCCCAGCTGGCACTCAGCACACAGTGGGACACAATTGAGAATGGTGCTCCAGAGCACATGTGTGCATGTGGGTGAGCATGCCCAGGCACTGAGACCTTCCCAAATGCCCTATCTACAGCCCCAGTTTCCTAACATTTCTGCTCTCACCATCCAAGTTGTTCTGAATACATCTTCTCCTAACGTACGGGCTGTCTCGTTATCTGACATCTCACATTTGCAACAATAGTAAAAAATCGACTACCTGACTATTTTT